GAATAAGAGAATTACATCTTAAACTGATAATCTGACAATACATTATTTAATTTAATTTCCATTTCAAAGTTATTTCAGTCGAAGATTGTTTTGAAAGTTATATTAACTCGAAACTAATCAGAATTATGATCTTTTGTTTGAACGTTCATAACAAAACGAGGTTAATGATTATTAATAATGAAACCTATACATTCAAAAGAAAACAAATAAATATTTTTTTAATTTCATTAAATTTTTTATTTTGTTTACTTTTCATGAAAATATCAAATATGAAATTTGAGAGTTCAAAGTTCATTCACATTATTTTAACGTTATTATTAGTGTTAATAAACTTGAAACAATAAATTATATAGACTTCCATAAATAAGTTCAGGATAATATGACGAAATTTCGAAAATAATTCAATGATATCATTTCACTAATTTTAATGCCAAGAAATTAAAGACTATTAAAATGGAAATTAATTAACAGGATATGCATATAATTTTAGAATATTCAAATAAACGTCAACCTCTAAAGGAAATGACAACATTTGCAATTATTAGCACATATGCTAATATAATGTTAACAACGATCATTTTGATGGATTGTCACAATCTGAAAAACAAATGCTTTTATGATAAGATACAATTAATCTATGTTTAATATTACTTTTCTTAGCTTCTATAATAAGCTAAGATAAGGAATATTATTATAGATCAATTGCCACTATTCATGAAAATAAAAGTCAGGTAATTAAATGATCAAATCATTTTAATAATAATGAAACAAAAAAATTTGTGATTATTATTTCACAAATAATTGCAACAAAATATGCCTGCCATTTGTCAATGAATTAAATAGATATTTGCAACATATGAAGGTATAATACCTACTTTTTACCGAAGTACAACAAATAAATCAGAAATAACCGGTTCTTCACATTTTTGCGTCATTTAATTCCTAAAGTGAATAAATGATGAAATTTATTTCTGATATTAACACATTATAAATAATATATATATAATATAATATGCCTTTTAAGTTCATATTTATTCCTTTGAGCTGACTTTCATCTTATTTTTAATTTCACTTATTATAAATTAATTATTTAATTATTTACAAAAAAATTTACAATTATTACGATTATCTTTACATTGCTGAATTTCTTTGAGAATATATTATATTGATATAAGTTATATTAAAGAATCGAATGAGATTTATTATTATGGCGATCAGCCTATGATTAATATTATTAACAATGTTATTTTTAACAGGACAGTTAAGGCTACAAAAGTCATTTCATGAATCATAACATATTCTGTTAATTATTGAAATTAAAATAACGATTAAATTTTATTTCGAAGAAAAATCACCAATAACAATAAAGACTATATTTTGCATATTTAAAGAAGCATATATTTAAATATATTAAAAATATTAATCGATTTCAGAAATATTAATGAATATGAATAACACGGGTGAAATACAGACAACAGAAAATAAAAAATGGTTCTAATGTCAGAATAATAGAAATTTAAGTGACAATTCAAATTTGAATTAAAAAACAAACACATGAATCACTTCCTATAATATTCATTGTCATTGCTAAGATTACAACAACACAGAATTTTTCACGTCATTTACTGGTTAACGTCTATCAGATCCAATCATTCATCGTATGTCTCAACTGGTGAGGTTAACCAGTTCAACGCATTCTCATCCGATAGCACATCATCATTTACATATTGATAATAAAAATTTTGAAAATAGTGCCATCTTACAAATCGAAGTACCAAGTAATTTTCATAGATGCTTGGGAATCTGTCTAGTATAATAATTTCTTACATTTTAATACTATAAAGTATTTAAGAATCACTGATATTTAAAGTAATTGCTCTGATGAAATCTCGACGCGTAGATGAGCTCTGATACGAAAATATTGTGTCATCTAAAAAGATGACATTTAATTAAACAACTGAAATTTAGGAATCAGAATCCCTTGAATATTGATTGCCTCAAATGATATCTATCGAATGTTAGAGAATTTTCCATCGATGAATCGATCGATATTCATGGTAATCGAGACAATTTGAATATTGTCAGCCATTGATGAAACTCTTTGTAATTTCTCACAAAGAAATCAGAAAAGATTGAGAATATTTTATAAATTAAACAATGTATCACACTTTTCCTTTTCTTAAATACATTAAAATCAAATGATATGAAAAATTTTTCGTCAATAATGCACAGTAGCTTTATCGAGAAATCAATCAATAATGATTAACGAAATTCCGCGAAATAAAATCATTAATCTTCGATCCATTCTGCACTGCTGAAACAGTCTCGAATATTTACAAGAAGAATTCTGACTTGGGATTAAAATATTCGATTAGCAAACAAAGGATTTTTAACTAATTATTTGAATCAAACTGACAATTTTAATCATTTAATATTTTATACTTTTCAATAATGATTTCCATATGCCTTCCTCGCACTTGGATTCATTTTTTACTAAAATACACATTTCCATATCGACATTTCAGGATTTCTGTAGAACCACGTTGGTATCGACTTTAGCTTCCGGAAATTTCACATCCTGACAATAGATGAAAATGATGAATAGCGAAGAAATTAAAAAGTCCAACTTAACAGTAAAGAGCAAATAACCATTAGCAATTTGATTCCTACCCACATAGAGCAGTAAACTCAGATTGATGATAGTATCTCGAAACTCTTTGATTTTCCTATGTCGATCGAAATTAAATTCAAATGGCGATGGTAAAAGAAAACGAAAATTTAGTGGTTTATAATGCAATGATGGCATATTTTGGTGCTATATAGTTTACAATAGGTTGCATTAATTATTGGCTTCAATTTAAATTTGAAAAAGTTGAAATAATAGAAAAATAATTAAAAAATTTAACTTTCGATTTAATTTTCAACTTTACATTAAATCACATAAACAGTTTTTACGTGATCAAAGGATAATAATAATGTAATGTCATAAGTAGCTTTTACTATAAAATATAAATTAAATTTAATAGATAAGGAATAAAATAATGTCAGTATTATTTGTGAAAGCTGATAAGTGAATAATTGAAATGAAATAAATAATCAAGCAATGGTTGCCATGATCTATTGTAGTTGCATTTGGTAACATCGTTACTCACAATAACATAATGAAGATAACGTTTCAGTGTGAATTCACTGTGCGAACTCATTCTACCATTCTTCTAGTTGTAATCATTGTAACCGTTTTCTATTCCTTCATGTTGTTGGCAGTCTAAAAAGAGTAGTACCATTTAAACTCTATTAAATACTATCGTATAGGCTTTATTGGGTGCGCGATGCGACCCTTATTTGTTTAATTATGATTGCATCGTGACAAGCACTTCTTAACAGAATCATTGGGTTATTGTTCGGAGAACGCATAATTTCTTCCAATCAATAACAATCGGTCATGCATTGGTCAATGAAATAGATTTACTGTTAGTTAGTATCAGATATTAAACCTTCCGATATTTTCAAAAGTATTACTGGCATATCTCTCGAAATAGTTATCACTTTATGTGACAGAATTTTCAAGATAGATTCGTTGAAAAATCGTATGATTTTCAAACTTGTGATATCTTTTCAATATTATACGTATTAATCAATTTTATCGCAATAATATTTGTGTGTACTTACGATTTGATATTTTTAGGAGTGTTATTTTTAATGGTCAATCCTTCTTGGTCATAGAGGCAAAGAACGACAATAACCAACATCACAATCTGCAGAACTATATTTATGTAGCTATTCGAATTTTAATTAAATTTTTGATGAGAAAAATATACATAAATCAGTACTGTTCCTAAGTGAACAATAAGAAGGACAAATTATGACATAATAACAATGTCTTATAAGGCATAATTTAATAACGACGATATTTGCTATGAATTCGATAGGGTTTCGATTCGAAATCTGCAACATTTAAATTACAATCGTCTGATAGCAGTGTCATTGAAAGTTAAATTGAATGAAATTGAAGGAGGAGATTGGTGAATCTCTTTGAGAACTTGCTCGTCCTCTTTGCCCCTACCTATGACTAAAAAGACCAACAACTGATGGCCAACAACTTTCTAAGTCAATTCGGATTGATAAAATATTCGGACCTGGTATTGGATTAACCAAAAACCAGGTCCAGCTATTACAATTAAAAAATTATTAATTAACACTTGCAAAAATAACTCAATTATACGGCTGTCCTTACCTTTAATATTAAACTTAAAAGAATTGCCACCAAAAAAACAAACACCTTGTTTGCACAAATTTTTATAAGTTTCATAATTAAAAGATTTCATACAACGCAAAGGGTCAAATCAATTTTCCGTGCAGAAGATCGAAATACATCGAAATGTATTGGAAAAAATAAAGAATGAAATCAACTTATCACAATCGAAGCAATCATATAGCAAACCCCAACAGATCTAAATTTGCGAGCGATACATAAAAACCTCAGAGGTGCATAAAAATACCGGTTAGTAACCAGTAACAACTGATTTACATTTACTAAATTTAGTTTTGCTTTTATTAGTATTAGTACTCCGGATGGAATACACTTCAGTTTTTAACATTCATGAAATTTATTTTGTGATTTCATCGGAAAAATTGATTATTAACCGGTTTTTTGGGTAACCCGTTGCAGAGAGGGACGCCAGAAAATCCGGTTTTACAGTAGTATTACATAAAGTTAACAGTTGCATAGTTTAACAATATCATAGTTTAGAGTAGTGGTTGAGAGTAGTGATCATTTCTGATTTGCAGTTTTAATCCGCGGATAATAACAAAGTTTCGCCAAATTGTCTGATATATCAGTTTTAGTTTGATGACGAAATAAATGATTAGTAATAAATGAAATGAAATGAATCGTTGACAGATCAAATGAGCACTTTTTGCATAATTCTACACAAAATGAAATCATCATAAGACTATCGAGTCAATGCGATCGCGACGAATTAAAAATATCTAATCAAAGATCAAACGGAAGTCTCAGTTGTAGGCTCTTCGGTTATTATTGATACAGTTGTAGGCTTTTCAGTTACAGGGTCTGCGGTTGTTGTTGCTGCAGTTACAGGCTCTTCAGTTGTAAGCTCTTCGATTATTGTTGTTTCAGTTGTAGACTTTTCGGTTATTGTTGCTTCAGTTGTGGGCTCTTCGGTTGTTGTTGTTATAGTAGTAGGCTCTTCGGTTGTAGGGTCTGGAGTTGTTGTTGTTACAGTTATAGGGTCCGCGATTATTATTGCTACAATCACAGGCTCTTCGGCTGTAGGCTCTTTGGCTGTAGTTGCTACAGTTGTAGGCTCTTCGATTATTATTGCTATAGATGTAGTCTTTTCAGTTGTAGAGTCTGCGGTTGTTGTTGCTATAGTCACAGGCTTTTCAGTTGTAAGATCTTCAGTTATTGCTGCTACAGTAGTAGACTCTTCAGTTGTGGGCTCTTCGGTTGTTGATATAGTTGTAGGCTCTTCGGTTGTAGGGTTTGCGGTTGTTGTTGTTACAGTTGTAGGCTCTTCAGTTGCAAGGTCTTCGTTTATTGTTGCTACAGTAGTAGACTCTTCAGTTGTGGGCTCTTCGGTTGTTGATATAGTTGTAGGCTCTTCGGTTGTAGGGTTTGCGGTTGTTGTTGTTACAGTTGTAGGCTCTTCAGTTGCAAGGTCTTCGTTT